GTTTCTCGCCGCCGCCTCTGGCTTTGTCTTGGGCTCTTCACAGTGCTCTGTCGGTCCACTTGCCAGGAGGTCACTTCTGGGCCTCGGAGCCCTGGTAGATTCAGACCAGCCTGCGTCCTTCTGCAGACGCCTGTCGGCGCTGGCGTAAGCCCGTCCAGTTCCTGGGCTCGCGGGACTGTTGCCACCGGGACCCGCTGCCCGCGCAGATCAGCCTGGGGAGTGCGGCGTGTCTGACTCGGCCGGGGCAGAGCCAGCGGCTGTGGGACTCGCGGTCTCCTTCCCTGTGCCCGGGGCAGGCGAGCGCAGCCTCTTGCAGGGCTTTCAGACTAGTCCACGTAGGTCTCCCCTGTTTCTTGACAAATGCGCCCACCGTCATCTGTGTTTGTTACCGCTAGCTTCTCGTCGGCTCCTTGAAAGAGCGTCAGTAATTAGCTGGCTGCTGTCACGGTGCGCCGGGTGGTGGTGGTCATCTTGAAAGGTGCAAACCCTCAACCACATTTTACGGAAGCGGCAGAGGTTCTCCTGGAGCGCCGCGTGGCCTCCCGAGCGCCTGTGCTGGCTAGCGTCTGGCTGGCAGCTCTCTTGGCTCTCTGAGGTGTGGGGCCCGTGCCGGCCCGTCACGCTCCCTGCTCGGCCCTGCCTCTGCCATGCCTTGGCCCCCTGGCTCCAGAGCCGTTGGCTCTTCCCAGCCCGCTGCTGTGTCTCCGGGTCTCCAGGTCCCCAGAGTGCCTTGGAGCCTGTCATGGTGTTCTCTGGCCCAGGCTTTCCCTTGCCGCCCCTTTGTCGTCCCCCCCAAGCAGCTGCTGCTGACTGGATCCTGTCCTTCCCCCAGCCGGCTGGACCTGTCACGCACCTGCCCCGGGGCCCCTGCGGCCCCAGAGTCTCACCCTGGGGTTCTCCTTCCTTCCTGGCCCGCTGGACACTCCGGCAGGAGACAGGAGAGCCGTCATGGTATCGCAGCCCTCACACCGTCATTTTCTTGTCTGTTTCTCGCCTGCTTTCCCTCTGTCCTCGCCAGCACAGGCCCAGCGCTCTGCGTCACGGTGAGGTCCGACTCTTCACCGACCCGCTCTTTCTGCTTGGCGGCTTTGCCAGGCCCTGCGGCAGCATCGAATCTGCGGCCCGGGACCCCTTCTCAGTCTGCGAGAGGGTGGGGTCGCCGCCTGACCTGACGAGGCCGGGCTCGTCAGGGTCGTGGTCGGACGCTTCGCTGTGGCCAGACTGGAAGGCTCGTCTGACCTTGACAGTGACCCAGTGAGCGTGGCGTGGGCAGAGGGTCAGGTTCCCGGTGGCTGCCGGTCGGTGGTGGCTGTGGCGGGTGTTTTCACCTTTCTCCAGCCGGGGATTGTTTCCGCGGGCCAGTGTAAGTTGGCAGATGTCTTTGAAAGACAAACTTTACATACAGCGTGGAAGAATAGTTTCCTTTCCAGAGTACTCTCCCAGTGCTATGGACAGAGGCGCCCCAAGTGGCGAGCGTGTCGGGGGCCTGGAAGGCGCTGCACAGCGCCAGCAAATGCCGTGAGTCCAGATCGGCAAGGCCGTTCCATTCAGCGTGTGTTCTCTCCCACCCCAAGGTCACGTTGGATCTTCAGAACAGCGCGGAGAAATTTGGGGGCTTCCTGCGCTCGGCCCTGGACGTGCTCTCTCAGATCCTCGAGCTGGCCACCCTCCAGGACATCGGGAAGGTTTGTGTCTCGTTTCTTCACCTGTGCTCGGGCAGCCGCGCCCCGGGCCCGACCCTGCCAGCCTGCCCGGGGGAGGCCGCCTCGCCTCCGCTGTGGCCTTGGTGGGCTTCCGGTCTTGGCCGCAGGCGTGGGGAGGGCGGCCCCGCTGTCTGCTCTGTCCTGTGCGTGCCAGGACGAAGACAGGGCGGTGAGCCAGGCCGACACGCGCCACTGCCCCCTCTCCTCGCCCAGCCCACCGGCCTGTGGGGCGCTCAGCGTGGGCCTCGCTCTCGAGGCTCCGCCTGGCCCTTTTAGCCGGAAGCGGCCATCTCTCCTTGCCGCGTTGCAGGGGTCGCCGGTGTGCCCGGCTGCTCCCAGGCGGCCACCCAGCACCCTGTGCTCCCCTGCTTTTGCCTTTCGAGGACCCCGCACACGTGTCAGCAGGCGTGCGCCCCGCCAGACATGGTGCTTGGAGGCTGGGCGGTGCCCCGTGGCCACCTGTCTGCTGTGAGCTAGGAAAGGCGCAGGTCGGGCGGCGCGTTCAGCCCAGGAGCCCTCCTGGTGTGCTGGCGGAGTGCGGCGACGGGGCGGTTGGAGTCCGCGGCCCGGAGTGCTGGAGCTGACCGGACTGCGTCGCCTCTGAAGGCGCGGCGGTCAGGCCGCCAGGCGAGAGGCAGTGTCGGTCTCGGCGGTTCTCGGCTGCCTGGCGGGTCAGTGGAGCGGCCACGCCCGGCGCCCGACCCGGCGCCCTGACGCTTGCCGCCTCGTGCTCCTCACAAGCACGCAGTCGCCACGTCTGCTGCTGAGCGCTTGCTGTGCCATGCGCCCGGCTGTCGGGCCTGCCCGCCGCAGTCCTGGCCTGTCGTGTTGGCCGTCGGGCCTGCGGCGCCTGGCTTCCTGCTGAGAACAGGGCAGGGCCGCACCACAGCGCTCGCTGGCCGTGTGGCTGTTGGGCTGGCCGCCGGCAGGCCGGAGAAGCGGCGAGCTGTGGCTCTGTGGTCAGTCCTCTGTCCCGACTGTGTTGACGGCGGCAGGCTGAGGACCTGCTCTGGGTCTCCTCTGATGTTTCCCGATGTAAGGCCAGGGCCCTGCCTCGTGTCCCTCATTTCTGCCCGGAATCCACCTGACGTCCTGCCGCCTGCCCTTCCCACAGTGCGTCGAGGAGATCCTTGGTTACCTGAGGTCTTGTTTCAGTCGGGAGCCCATGATGGCGACAGTCTGTGTCCAGCAGGTGAGGGCGTGTTGTCTGTCTTCGAGACGCCAAGCCTCTTGTCACGTGCAAAGTGGCCCGAGATGTGTCCCGCAGCCCCCGCCCGCCTTGCGCCCCTCTGGGCGTGGTGCACCCTAGAGGCAGGCCCATCCCCGCTGGGCCCTCTCTGTCCAGAACCTCAAGGTCCCTCAGCGCGCAGCTGTCTGTGCCGGCAGCGGCCGTCTTCGGGCTTCCAGAACGGTGCTCAGGGTGGCGCCGCCGTTCCTCCTGGGTGGGTCTGCCTCCGTGGCCATCCTGACCATGCCTTGTGTCCCTGGGCCGCGTGTTGGCACGTCCGTTCTTCCTCTCTAGCTGCTGAAGACTCTCTTTGGGACAAACCTGGCCTCCCAGTTCGACGGCTTATCCTCCAACCCCGGCAAGTCGCAAGGCCGTGCACAGCGCCTTGGCTCCTCCAGCGCGCGGCCGGGCTTGTACCACTGCTGCTTCATGGCCCCCTACACCCACTTCACCCAGGCCTTAGCGGACGCCAGCCTGAGGAACATGGTGCAGGCGGACCAGGACCGCGACCCCTCGGGGTAAGTCTCCTGGCCAGCCTCGGTCTCAGCCGTGAATTGGGCTGCGGCTTCTCAGTCTGCTGTGGCCAGAGACTTCTGGGCGACGCGGCGGTCACAGAGGTGCAGCGGGCGGCCCGGCCTCGTCCTCAGAGGAGCGTGTGGCTCTGTGATTGGAGGGAACTTGGGGCTACCTTGCTCGGAGGTGTGGTCTCCAGTGCCCCTCAGTGCGGGCGACCAGAGTGGGACAGCCACGGAGTGGGAGCGTGCGGCTGTTCCGGGGGTCGCGAGGCGTCTCGGTGGTGGTGACGATGTCCTGGCCCCGGCCTGGGCTAAGGGGTGGCCCAGGGCCCAGCGTGCTCACGTTGAGGGGGACTCAAGGGGCAGAGGCCTTTGTGTCTTACGTGGCTCAAAGTCTCGTCGCTTAGCTTTTGGCTGTTTTTGATGCCTGAATTCTGTGCGTCGTTTCTGGAAGCCCTCTTGGTCAGCCGGCGGCAGAGGTACTCTGCGGGCGACAGGAGATGCCGGGCCTGGGCTCTTCGAGATGCAGCGGTCGGTCAGCCACACTTAAAGCGCCGGCTTCAGGGCCAGGGAACCGTCTGCCTAGCTGTGGCCGTGCGCCGGCCGCGCCTGCCTCGGGCGCCTCCCGCGCGCTCAGCCTGATGACAGGGCGCCTGGCAGGCGTGAGAGCGAGTGATTTCCTCTTCCTTGCGGGGGATTCTCGAAAAGAGGAGGAGTAATGATACGTGTAAGAAATCTTCTTGCGACAACCAAGTGGTCTTTTCTGAATTTCTTAACCTTGAGCATCGCCTTCCTCTCGCGCCCACGGGGGCATGGGCCTAGCAGGGGGTTTCCGTGGCAGAGACGTCACCTGCCGCAGACAGGCCTGCCGGCTCGGTCAGTGGGGCGCCAGGCGCGCCGTGCTGCGCCCCGGGTCTCCCCGACATGGCGGGTTCTGGCTCGTGGCTGTTTTGGGCCTGGAGAGCAGCCGCCCTCCCCGAAGGGCCTCCTGGGTGTCCTAGGCCCACCTGGCCTCTGTCCCCTAGGTGGTTTGATGTCCTCCAGAAGGTGTCTACCCAGCTGAAGACAAACCTCTCCAGCGTCGCCAAGAACCGGGCCGATAAGGTAAAAGGGCGGGGTGGGGGCGCAAGGCATCCTGGGCGCCGGCAAGGAACGTCGGGCTCAGGCTTCCCGGGTCGCTTGTTGAGGGTCTTTGCTGAAGGCTCACTTCAGGATGCCTTTTCCGCCTCCTGACAGAACGCGATTCATAACCACATCCGCCTGTTTGAGCCGCTCGTCATAAAGGCGCTGAAGCAGTACACGACCACCACGTCTGTGCAGCTGCAGAAGCAGGTGCTGGACCTGCTGGCACAGCTGGTCCAGCTGCGGGTTAACTACTGTCTGCTGGACTCGGATCAGGTGTGTCAGCCGCTCACCCTCGTCTGCGGACCCTTCGTGGTGGAGATGACCTCGCCAAGATGGCAGCAGCCCTGGCCGCCAGCGTGGCCTGCACTGGGCGCTCCGCTCAGCCTCCCCGCCCCTCCCCTCCCCCACACCACGAGAGTCGGGTCTGACGTGAGGTACAGATTAAGGGGCGCGGTTTGTCGGGGACACACTCGCGCCGTCCAGGGAGTTATTTTGAGTAGGGCATCCGTTGTGGCTGGTTTCGAGCAGCTTCCATCGCCCCCAAGAAGAGCGGGCCAGTAGGCGGTCCTCTGCCCGTGGCCATCCAGCCTGCACCCGCCGCGGGGTGGCCTCCCAGCTGCCACGTGCTTTCTCACGTGCCGGCGGCCGGGCGCTCCGGCAGGTGTGCCCGTGTTCTGCGTTTGTGACTGTGTCTGCTGGGTCTGGAGAGCAGCTGCTCGTGGGCCTTCTGGTCTCCTTGGCTCACCTGGTCTCTGTCCGCCAGGAGGCTTGATGTCCTCTAAAGTGGGCATAGATCCGCTCCAGATGAAGTGACTTCAGTCATCAAAATGTGACTGGCCCTGCCTGATTTGCACAGGCCACACAGCATTTGAAAGCTAGAAACGCTGTGGTTCTGCTTCTGTCTGGGCCCAGGTGTACCTGTTGGTACTGTTAGCACCTTTACCCGTGAAGGGTTTGGTTCCTCAGGAGACGCAGCCCAGCCCAAGGGGAGGGGGTAGCGCCCGTTCTGACACCCCAAGACCAGTGCTCCCTGCTGCCTGTGACCAGCCACGGCCCCCCTGTAGCAAATCCGGTTCCCGCGACTGCCTTCTGGGCGGCGCCGGCTCGCCCTTGCCGTGGACGCTGACCTGCTTCGCCGCTCTGCCCTTCTCCCGGCCCGAGGGTGCAGCCCTGGCAGTGCCTGTCCAAACCCAGGAGACTGGGTGAGGCAGTGCAGGCCTTGGCGCGGTGTGGAGCCGGCCACGCGCCTGGCGTGTCCGGGGCCGGGAGGATGCCGTGCGCGGCGTCCAGGCCCCTCGTGGAGGGGACAGCTGCTGTCGCCCGTCTTCCCATGCCTCTTCCCAGCCCCGCCTGTGGGAGTCCGGAGGGCAGGGCAGGGCAGGGCAGACGGCTAAGGGGAGCATCTCAGCCCCGACACAGCTTCAGGGAGTCTGCGTCCGGCTCGACCCCAAACTGCGGTGGCCGAGGCCCCTGGCGCGGCGTCGGCTGCTCGGTGGCCCCCGGGAACACCCTCCTTCCATAGGGCCGCAGGTGTCCAGCCCGGGGTGTGCTGGGCGGGTTTCTGGGGGTGTCTGAACTAACGCAGTCCGGCTCGAGCCGCCTGAGCCTCGCGCACAGGCAGAGTGCCGGGTGCCGCAGCTTGCTGCGCGTGGCGTGAGGGCGGGACGTGGCGCGACCCCACAGCGCGGCTGTGACGTGAGACCCTCACTCTCCCGCGGCAGGTGTTCATCGGGTTCGTGCTGAAGCAGTTTGAGTACATCGAAGTGGGCCAGTTCAGGTAAGGGCGCCGCCCGCGCCGCCTTCTCCCGCTTTGCCCTCGGCGAGTGCCTCGTCGGAGTTGGGTGGGCGCCTGCTTTCCGGGGTTCGCAGTCCGTTTTGCTTGTGGTTTCGTGGAAATGTGGGAGGCGCGCCACGCCCCGCGCCCCTCGGAG